AAGAATTTTTACTAATATACAATGTAATATCTATAGACAGAAAAATTATTGAAATCGAAACAGAAGCATTGGATGAGGTTGGTTCTTAAGCTGTCTCATGTTATTCATATCGAATAACTCACCTTCTACTTCATAAATTTAATTCAGTATGTTAAAGCATAATGAACAAATTTGGAAACATCATGTTTAAATCAAAATTTTGTATTGCTTCGAAATATAAGTTCAGCATTTCTCTAGCACTTATGAATCAACTTTTTCTAGGCATGAAAATAAAGTTTGCATGAAGAATGTTGCTATTTTTTTGCATAGAATCAAAAGCGAAATTGTTCCTACAAATTGATATGAGAATCAAGAATATTAAAAAAATCATTCAAGAATGGCTAAGTTCACTTTCAAAGTCTGTTTGCCATAGTAATGGAGTTGTTTTTTAGTTGAAATTGAACTTAAGAGTGAAGGTAATAATTTAATGGATAATGTAAACCCTCGGTTTTCTTATGAACTGCTGTCAACAGTTAATTTTGGTGGTAATTAAGTGTATGAGAAGTTAACTATTAGTATATCATATAGAAAAGACTCCGTTCTTTCATTCACTGTAATTCGTCTTATTACCGCCTCTAATTTGACTAAGCTTTAGCGAAACTGAATTTCATTCATATTCAATTTACGAGCCTCAAAAGAAGGTCGACTCACAATTCATAAGCCAAAAAACGCCCACACCCACACCCACACCCGATGGATAGATTTGATTGAGATCCAATCAACGATATGACGTGAACTCTATAAAAACGTCTCACTATCTTACCACGTGATGATTGACATGATATTAATATTGAGTTATCGAGTTATAATATACACATCTTCGCATATTCTTCGTTCGCCATTTTTTCTTAATGAGTCGGTTTTATAGATAATAGGACCTATTCTTTTGGGATATTATTAAGCGGTCAGTAAAATAAATGAAATGGTCAGTAAAATATATGAAATGATCAGTAAGATAAATGGTCAGTAAAAAATGTATAAATGATCAGTAAAAAGATTAAATGGTCAGTACTTAGATTATCACTCATATAAAAAAAAAGATTGGAAAAAATCTGATTTTAATCGATTTTTTTGTGATTAAAAATCGATTAAAATGGGACAGTTTTAACCAGGTTTTTAATCAAACTAGTGATTAAAATAAATTAAATTTATAAATATCCATTTTAACCGATTAAAATTTTTTCATTGACTATTTTACTCAATTTTAGTCAGATTATTCGATTTTTAATCTATTAAAATCGATTAAAATTTTTAAATCGATTTTAATCAATTCTAATAGTTTTTCTTTTTAAATGAATAAGTACCAATTGATATCGAGTCTTGAAGCATGGAATTTATGTCAAAGGTCGATCTAGCATCATATCTACTAATTTTCCGAGGCAAGGAGTCCGAAAAAGCGATCGAACATCTGAGTTTTCAACATAAAGTTTGAGAAAACGCATTTTACCGTCGCCGCCATTAAAATTAATATTTATAAATTTAATTTATTTTAATCACTGGTTTGATTTAAAAAATCGATTAAAATTAGATTTTTTCCAATCTTTTTTTTATATGAGTGATAGTCTAAGTACTGACCATTCAATCTTTTTACTGATCATTTATATACTTTTTACTGACCATTTATCTTACTGACCATTTCATCTATTTTACTGATCATTTAATTTATTTTACTGACCGCTTAAATAGTAGCCTATTCTTTTGTCTTCTACATGCCTAGTAGGAAGCTTATCCAAGTTCCAATGATATTGCTCATCGCATATCGAAACAACACAGCTTCTAAACATTTAAAAAACGGCTAAAAAAGACTAGTGAATTACTTGTTCAAAAATGACATCCTAAAAATTATAGTTTTTTTCAATCAGTGAACTACTTCATCTGAAAAAATGTGTTATGATACATTCGCGCACAGTATGTACAATTGTTGCGTATGCATGCACCCCTTTTTCATATTTTTACTGTGAATGTACCTTGTGAAGATAAATCCATACGTAGAAATACTATTTATGTGATGAAATTCTTCGCAGAATAAATGAAAGTATAAGCAGGACGATACCTAGAATGTAATACAAGTAATGAAAGTGAACCGTATACGATAAGAAAACGGTGTTAATGCGGCTCATCGTTATTCAATGAAAACGGCATGAAAAGGCGCCGTTTTCGTTCCGATGAAACATGTTTTCTTAATTTAGTATACACGATTATGTCCCTAAAACCTTTGGAAAACGGCCGAAGATGATACTAGTTTTTCACTGTTTATGGCAAGAATGAAATCGTTTCCGATGGTCGGAATCATCGATTTGGGTAATATAAATCATGTATGGAGTGTTCAAGTCAAAATAAGACATCAACAACACTCATTCTAAACGAGTCAATAGGTCGCATTAGCAATGAAATCGAAGAACTGAACGCCTCACTGTTGTATATGAACAGGCAAATAGTTCACCTCAAATAATATCTTCATTTCAATCATAGTGAGTTTTTGTTATTATATTTCAACTAATAAATTTTCTCTTTTAATTAAGATAATCGGAGCAGCATTTTCTTAATAAAAAGAAAGAATAAAAAATTTTAAGTAAAATGATATAAATTGAACACTATCAGTTAGTAAAATAGAAAAAAAAATAAAAATAGTAGAATTTGAATAATTTTGTCGTTTTTTCGTAATGCAATGTTTCAATCTTTTAACAGATCATTTTTAAGTAATTCAATTAACACGACCTATATCAATTCCATAAAGTTTCACTACTTCTAGTTGTTTTATTTATTATCAATAAATGCAGAAATACACGTCGAGGGAACATGATTACTTGACAAAGATATTGTAAGAGATAGAAATAAAGTATTATGATAAAAAGTCAAAATTATTCTAGGATTTTGTTTATATGGTTTGCATACTTGAATATTAATTTCTAATGATACTAAAACATTATTTTTCATTCTTTCTATCATAACTTACTTTATCTTGTTATTCTTTAATATCTCATGCTCTTGAAATTTAGAGTTTCAATTACATCATAATGATATTACTAAATTGAATACTATCAATTCTATTTAATTATTCAGAAATACATGAGAATGATCAGTTTTAGATATCGTATCATTTATTATGATTTATAATTATCTATAATAAAATACCATGTTCTAAATCTTTGTTTCTATATGATTGATTGGTAATATTTCAAAAATGAGAATTTTTTTTGATTTATTCTAATAAATATAATTAGTTTTATATTAGACATCAGTAATCACAACTATCAGAAATAGTAAATACCAATGGGAAAAATATAAAAATTAATCGGAAATAAAATAATTGAATTTGTTAAGAATTGTGACTCAATAGAATTTTAAATCCAAATCATAACTGACATTTGCTAAATTATAATTAACCAGTTGTCGCTCGGAATCAATTCAGAAAATAATTGACATTGACAGTATATAATATAAGATATTAACTTATATACTAAACTAAAATAGAAAAGAAAATGACTTTTCCTGACATACTACAGATGTATATATACATTGATCGTAATTTAACAACTAATATTACTGTTATAACTAACGATAAACTAATATACATGTGGTAAAAGTACAAAATATCAATTATTATATCTGTTTATAATCTCCTTTTTCTCTAAGAAATATTTTGTGTTCATGTATTGTTGTAATCTAATTATCCTATGTTATAATATAAAGAAAAAAGAAAATTTTATTATATTTATATTTTATTGAATTAAATATATAAATAAACAATTTTGCATAGAACCAAATAATTGTTAATCAATAAGAGAAATAAATACTAGAATTGATCAATATTTATTATTTAATCTATTTCTCATAAATTAATAAATATAAAATAGATCGAAAGGTAGTTTTTTATTTAACACTATTCAACAATCTTACAAATAAATCTTTGGTATATATTTTAAAATATAAAAAATCATCATATCATTTTTTTAATTAATCAACGAAGAAATGAATTATAACATTCATTATTATCGTCAATTGTGCATAGAATAAGATATCATCCATAGTTACTTTAGCCTTGATTCGTAACAAACATAAAAATACAAACATTCAAATAATTAAATGTTATCTGTTTACTAACATTACCTTGAACACAAGGTTCAAAACTCGAAATCGATTTACCTCTAATTATATTGCTGTCAATACGAATATATTCATTCGTAAGTCTATTCATCACTTGGTGATTTGCCTTGGTGAATATTTATCTGTCGCCAACTTTACCAATCTTTCAATTATGAACATAGGTTAAGAAAAAAAAAATTGATGACAAGATGCAAAACGAAGATAAATTGATTCATTTACAATATGTTATCATAACATATGAAAATAATTGATTAAATGAGTGAAATAATAACATTACATCTATTTCATTTTTTTAGTTTGTTTTTGCTTATAGTTTCAATTGATAATCAAAACCATATCAAATAATCACATTTATATGACACGCAAACATTTTCGACGTTTTATATAAAACAAAAAAAAAAAACAGTCGAAAAATATCAATGTATTGCGTTCTTTATTTTACTTTTTTGATTCAATGAATCAATATAATAAAATCTTTTCTTTTAAATCTAATTAAAATCAAACAAAACTTATATAAAAGCGTTATCGAAAGATGACGCTGTATATCAATGATTGTTTTGTTGATCTATTCATCAACACATAATTATGGCAGTCGAATCAACCAACCGAAGAAATGTCAAAACGGGTCAACAACATCTACTATAGATTTGTATAGCATGCATTAGATTGTCTATATTATATATTAATATTTTCAATAAATTTAATTTTTAATTAAAAATAAATAAGAAACTTAATGTATGTAAATAATATTATATATTATTATTTTTAGATCTCTGAATGACAATGATTGATGGTATTCAACCATCTTTATCATCGTCAACTAATCGAAATATATACTAATAATACTAAAATCAATGTCGAAAGCATATAATTTCGATTGGCACATTGAAGTATCACCTCGCCTACTTAAAGGCGATATTTTTGATCGTTGGGATGAAGAAAATGGAACATTAGAACAAAATTGTTTATTTCGTGTGGATAGTTATGGATTTTTTATTTATTGGCAAAGCGAAGGACGTGATGGACAAGTTATTGAATTATCACAAGTTAGTGATATACGACCAGGAAAAGGTATTTTTGTTTTAGAAATTTAATATTCATTTAATTTTGTTTTTATATTAATTTATTTCAGCTCCAACTGATCAAAGAATTGGTGCTGATCTTATGGCTAGTGCACTTATGTATGGTCGAGGTAATATTGATGAACGAACAGTAACTATTTGTAGTGGTATTGATTTTGTACAAATAATTCATACAAATATAACCGGTGTCGATCCAGCTACAGCAAAAGTACTAATCAAAACAGAAGAAAATATTTAAAAATATAAATTTCTTACCTTTTTTTTTTCTACTTAGGAATGGGTTGAAGGTTTAAGAAAAATAACGCATAATCATAAAGCAAATAATATATGTCCTACAACAATCTTACGAAAACAGTAAGAATATAATAAAGTATTATATTTTAATTAATAATGATATTATTTTCTTTTCAGTTGGATGAAATTATCATTTATGTTAAATGATAAAAAAAGAATTCCTGTTCGAAGGTAAGATAATATTATTCAAAATATTATTTTATATGATTTCTTTTTGTTTTTATTTTTTTTATTTTTTAAGTATTAGTAAAACGTTTGCATCTGGTAAAACAGAAAAGCGTATATTTGAAATTTTAAAAGAACTTGGTTTACCAAGTGGAAAAGTAAAATCCTTGATAACAAAAAATTAAAAAAAAAAAACATTTTTCTAACTCGGTTTTCTCTCTCTCTAAAATTAGAATGATGAAATTGATCCAGTTGATTTTACATTTGAAAAATTTTGTGATCTCTATCATAAAATTTGTCCACGTACTGATATAGCTGCATTATTTGATGAATTATCAGATGGAAAAGATTATATAACAACAAAACAATTTGTTGATTGGCTTAATGAAACACAACGTGATCCACGTTTAAATGAAATACTTTTTCCATTTTATGATACAAATAGTGCATTACGTATTATTGATCGATATGAATTACGTGCTAATTATAGAGATCGTGGTCATTTATCATGTGATGGTTTAACAAGATATTTAATGTCCGATGAAAATGCACCAGTTTTTCTTGATCGATTAGAAGTTTATCATGATATGGATCAACCTTTATGTCATTATTTAATAAATTCATCACATAATACATATTTACAAGGACGACAATTTGGTGGTCGATCATCAGTTGAAATGTATAGACAAGTATTATTAGCTGGATGTCGTTGTATTGAATTAGATTGTTGGGATGGTAAAAATGATTCTGAACCAATAATAACACATGGTAAAGCAATGTGTTCAGATATTAATTTTAAAGAAGTTATTATTGCTATACGAGATACAGCATTTGTAACAAGTGATTATCCAGTTATACTATCATTTGAAAATCATTGTTCAAGACAACAACAATTTAAATTAGCACAATATTGTGAAGAAATACTTGGTGACTATTTATTAACAAAGCCATTAGATACTTATCCAGTAAGTAAAAAGAAAATTTTTGAATTAGATATTTTCTTTTCTTTGTTTTAATTATTAGAATGATAGAAAAAGAAAAGAGTAATTTGTTAAAATGAAATTTTTTCTTTGATAAACTAATTGTGTTTTCTTTCTTTTTTTGGCTTATTTGACTGAATTTGATTGAGTTTAACATGATGATATTTTGTTTTTTATTTATTTACTTTTCTATTTTCTTTTTTCTTTATGAATTTTAGCTTGAACCTGGTGTGCCTTTACCAGCGCCAAATTTATTAAAACGAAAAATTCTTATTAAAAATAAAAGATTAAAACCAGAAGTTGAAAAACGTAATTTTATAATTGATTAGTTCTCTTTATTATTTTATTTTTTTATTTTGTTTTTATTATCTATAGATCAACTTGATTTATTTCTCGAAGGTTTCGATACGGAAATAAACAATGAAAATGATTTAGATTCAGCAGCTAATGTTGAAGGTGAAGATGGTCCACCTGTATATGTTGATAATATGAAATTACGTGATGATGATGATGAAGCTCATCCTGAATTAAATGTTGATATCAATGATGATACTAATCGACGTACACTACTTAGTCAAATAATGAAACTTAAAGGATCAGCAAATTTATCACGTGAAGAAGAAGAAGCATTTTATAATGGTTATCAACATAAAGGTGCAACAACAAATATTCATCCATTATTATCATCACGTGTTAATTATACACAACCAATAAAATTTCCTGGTTTTGCTAAAGCTGAAGAACGTAATATACATTATCATATGTCATCATTTTCAGAAAATGTTGCTTTAAATCATTTAAAACAAAATCCAATTGAATTTGTTAATTATAATAAACGACAATTATCTCGAGTATATCCAAAAGGTGGACGTGTTGATTCATCAAATTATATGCCACAAATTTTTTGGAATGCTGGTTGTCAAATGGTTTCATTAAATTTTCAAACACCTGATCTTCCAATGCAATTAAATTTAGGAAAATTTGAATATAATGGAAATTGTGGGTAAGTTATAGAATCAAATTTCATCATATGGAAAGCATTATAGATAATTAGTCTGTGGGATATATATATATCAATATATATTTGTATATATTGAGACACAGAAAGAGAGAAAAAGGAACAGGTGGTAAATGTTCTATAAAAGAGTTTTATTGTCTTATTTTGAAGGTCATATCTTCCATTCATCTGTTGATTGTTAATATACTGACATATTAATGGAAATAGCGACTAATCTACTTGTCTCATTTATTTACAAAGAATATAAAAACAAAAAGAAGAAAAGAAAAAGACGAAGAAAAAACAAAATAAGATAAAAAAAAAAAAGAGCAGAATAAAATAACATTTAGCTCGAAGCAATATTTGTATTTACCATCGGATTGCATTTCTTTTTGATGCTGTGCAATAATAATTGCTATTGCTCGTGTCCATTGCTCTTATATAGACATAGACGAATTCTTTATGAATTGGCAATGATGATAGACAAAATATATTGTTTTCTATAAGTGTTTGTAATGTTGCATAGATGACATTTTTGGAAGCTAAATAAGATGATGTAACATGATTAGTTGTAATAACATAAAATTGTCCTTGAAGACATTCATTCATAGCATGTAAACATGTCATTAAATTTGCTGATTGAAGACTTATTTCATATGTACTACGTAATTTTGTTTGTGGATGAATACCAATACAATCAAGCCAATATACTGAATGTTGAGAGTTATTTAATGATACAAACATAAATTCGATTTTTGAGAAATCATTCTTATCAATTATTAACATGATATTTATATCATCATTAAAAACTATATATATACCGGGTGGCCCATAAATAAGGAAACGACAGAAAAAAAATTGATTATCTCTATTAGGACTTGACCAAGCGAGCTCATTTTTATAGCAAGCCTAGAGACCTGTTCATACTCTAAATCCATACGAGCAAGGTTGGTGAGAATCTTTGTTAAGTATCATTAGTAATCTCAGTAAAAAATTTCACCTTTTCACAAATAAGAAAAATTCAATGTACAGGGTAACTCAAAAGTCAGTTTTCTGAAAAGAAAATTGAATATCCCTATTATGGCTCGAGCGAACGAGTTGATATTTTGACTAAAGATAGAGACGTGTTCATACTCTAAACCATACGGATAAGGTTAGTGTGAACCTTTGTTAAGTATATTTCTTTCTTTTCTAATCTGTGAAAAAGTAAAATTTTCTTGTTGAGGTCAATAGTGATACTTACAAAGGTTCTCGTTAAGCTTGTCCGTATGAATTTGGAGTGTGAACAAGTCTCTAGATTTGGTATAAAAATGAGCCCGCTTGGTCAAGTCCTAATAGAGATATTCAATTTTTTTCTTCCATTTCTTTACTTATGGGCCACCCGGTATATAAAATGATAGAATTGTAAATGAATAACAATCAGTTAGATCAACAACGATTAATTATATTCATATTTAAATTGTCTTCTGTTATGTTATTTTTATATATGCTGTTGACCTACTAAATGTTAAATAATTCAATGCTTTTAACAGGCGATCTTGTTTTCTCATTATAGATTGTCGTTTTGATGCTATTTCTAGTAAATCTTCGATAGTTTTAACAGATGCTAATTCTTTATCATCCAAATGATAAACACGAACATAAACACAAATATATATATATGGATATACCATAGTATTTTTCATTATCACATTCTATTAATGATAAGGCATTACGATTGATTTCATGAGCATATGTTATTTCATTTCGATCAAGAGCATATAACCATCCTTGCGATATAAAATAGTGCATAAGCAAAATATCAAAATAATTCTGTGAAGTATCATGGTGGCCGTCATCCCATTCATTTTCTGACAATTAATTCAAAGAAATATCTCGTTTATCCAGAACATTATATCAATAATGTTTGATAACTCGACGATATTGGTCTCAATATCGTTTGACTGTCCATAGAAATAAAGCTATAGATTCAGTGTCATCTAGACATACATTCAAATAAAAGACAAAAATTTTGTTTTCTTGGTTTTCTGTTGAGAAACTCATATTCGTTACAATTGTTGCTCTATAAGAATAGCTATATGGTGATGATACAATTTGTGTTTTATTATTTTGTCGTGACTTGTTTTGATTTTGTATGATTAATTGATGTCGTTTTTAGAATAATGAATGAGATGAAATGAAAATATGGGTATATATGTATATGTATACAAATAATAGAATAGAAGTCGTGACGAAAGCATATTTTTGTTTTCTCCTAATATTAATTTTGTCACAAATATCATGTGATATCTTAAAAATGTACTTTCCCTTTTTGTTTTTTATTTTTCTTTTGCTCTCTTTCTTTTTCAAACACATTTATAGTGACTGGCAATGTTAATAATCGAACCTAATAATCTTCTTATTTCCATAAGAAAAAGAAACTTCTTGAAAAAAAAATCTAATTTCAAAGAAAAATGATTGATCAATCATATTATACTATTGACATATTTCCTGTAAGCACAGAATCATTCAAGTATTGTAATAAAATTAAGGAAAAAAATTAACATGAAAGATGTCGACATATACTGGACTAGAAAATAAAAACTAATGTATATTTTTGTTTTCATTTTAATTTAGCTATTTATTAAAACCAGATTTCATGCGTCGACCTGATCGTACATTTGATCCCTATTCTGAAAGTCCAGTAGATGGTGTCATAGCTGCATTTTGTAGTGTACGTGTTATATCAGGTCAATTTTTATCCGATAAAAAAATTGGTACATATGTCGAAGTTGATATGTTTGGTTTACCAGCTGATACAATTCGTAAAGAATATCGTACTAAAACAATTCCAGCTAATGGTCTCAATCCAAGATATGATGAAAGTGTTTTTGAATTTCGAAAAGTAAATAAAAAAAAAAAAATCAAGCAAATACAACAACAAGAAAAAAAATTATTTTTTTTCTTTTTTAATATAAATTTAGATTGTTCTTCCAGATTTAGCCATTTTACGTATAGCTGTTTATGAAGAAACAGGAAAACTTATAGGACAACGTGTTTTACCATTAGATGGATTACAAGCAGGTTATCGACATATATCATTGCGTACAGAAGGAAATTTTCCATTATCATTACCAACAGTATTTTGTCAAATTATTTTAAAATCTTATGTACCGGATGGTTTAAGTGCCTTTGTTGATCAATTAAATAAACCGTTATTGATAAAACGAACTGAAGAATTACTATATGCAACATCTAGTAATTCATTTGATAGTTGTTCAACATCAACTAGTTCATCTGCGCGACGATCACGTATACATGATTTAAATTCAGCATCATCTGCTTCATTAGAAACAAGAGCAACAATAATAACAATTCCTAGTACTACTTCAATAAGTACATTATTAACAAATGATACAAATAGTCTTGTATCAACACCATCATTAAAATCGAAAATATCAACTGACACAATTATTCCAATAACATTAGATTATTTACGTGAACATAAAAGTTTTTGTAAATTAAAAACAAAACAAGATAAAGAATTAATTTTAATGAAGAAAAAACATGCAAAAGAACAAAATTTACTTTGTGAACAACAATCAAAAATAATGAGTAAAGTAAAAAATGATAATGAAAAAATTATACGTTCGCCATTGATGCAAACTGGAAATTCAAAAAAAGAATTAAGGTAAAAAAATAATAACAATATGAAAATCAATTGAATAATCATTGTTTTTCTAATTAATTTAAAACATTTTGTTTTTTTAATCTTTTTTTTTTTTTCTTCTTGCTTCTTAAGCATTTTTTCTCATCGCTTATTTAAATTCTTGATATTAAGGTATTGTTTTATTTGCTCAACAAATAGATACTAATCTTACTAATACATGTTCTTTTTTTTAAAACCTTTTTCCATATTTTTATAATATTCTTTTTGTTTTTTAAAGTAATGGTGGTACTTCAAATGAAGGAAAAGCTGATCCTAGGGTAAATAAATAAGATTTATTAGTTTTTTTTCTTTGAAAATAATATATATATATGTATATACTTTTTTTTTCTTCTTTATTAGCTAATGGATTTAATTAATGAACAAAATGTTGAATGGACATCACTTGTACAAAGACAATTAACAGAATTAAATGGAGTTCGTCGGTCACATACTAAAGAACAATGTGATTTATTACTATTTTTACTTGATGAAACACAAAAAATGCAAATGAAAGAAATAACTGATAGACATTTAAGGTACAACAGCAAAAAGAAAAAAAATGAAGATTTGAATTTTTCAGAAAAAAAAAGTTAATATCTTGTTTTTGTTTTTTAGAGAAAAGAAAGATCTTGAATTAAGTCAAGTACGACAAAATATTGAAGATAGTAAACGACTTGGATCAGAAAAAAATATTAGAAATAAATCAGATTTAGATCGTCGAATACGTGAATTAAAATCAAATAATACAAAAAAATTTTTAGAAGAACGAAAAAGACAAATGATGAAACATGATAGAGAAAAAGAAAATTTAGTTAAATCACATGAAATACAAAAAACAACACTAACGAATGAAATTAAGAAGGTATATATATATTAATCTCTTTATTTTTCTTTACCATCTAAATTACATACATCAATCCTATGTAAAAAAGCATCTCTAATACGATCATTAATTGACTATCAAAAGTTTCATAATTGATTTTTAATTCTCTGGATACTGAGAAAATTATTGATAGGAAATTCTTATTAAATAGTAAAAATTCAATGATTCGAACCAAGGTCCAAAAAAAAAAACGTTTAGCAGAAATTGACATCTTTGGTTTCTTGAAATGATGAAAAAAGAAACTGATGACCTACTTATTCTTCGGAAATTACATCAAAAGAAGAAGGAAAAAAGCTATTAATACAATCTCTGCGGGATTAAAATGTGAAACATAATAGAGCGACTGACGGTGTAATGAAAAGCATTCATCAACATATGTTTGAGTTCATGACATAATACCTGCTGATAATATATGTCGATGATAAAAGATATTGCTTGCAATATATTAGAATTAATATGAGGAATAAAATGGCAAAGGATAACTATATTAAATTCAATCGTGATTCAGATTAATCTCACAAGAGACGTCGATGTCGTGGGACATGTCTGTTATAATCCGTGAGGAGTAAACGGCAATACTAAATTATCTGTCATGCTTTGTTACAGAACAGAAGCGTTTTTAAGCCATCTGTCAAGAGTCCTGATAAGAAGATGAGAAATTTCTAACATATCTATCATGTTTATGAGAGAGAAGGGTGAGCATGTCTAAGTTTCTACTCTTATACTTCAACACTTATCTGGAATCGTGTTGCATCAAATTAATGATCAGCACAATTTCTTGATTCATATAAAAATTATTTATTACCTAGATACAAAAAAAAAAAAACAAAGTATCAGTATCTAGTTTGATAACCTAGATTCTGTAAAGAAAAAACTAGCTCAAGACATCAAATACAGCAATTTGTTTTCTAGGGCTAAAATTGATAAAATTTATTATATACACTGGTATCTATACAGCAATATTTTGACTGTTGGTAATCCTAGCTATGAACTATACAATCTCTAAAACTGGACACATTAATAGTTTACTCTAACGACATGAAAATATGAATAAAAGAAAAGAAAACAAAACAAAAGTTAATTTATTATTTATTTCTAATATAGATGCTTGAATACAGTATCAATTATCAAGATGAATCACCAATGGCTCGATTTCCTTCATCATCTGTATGATAATAATTTACGGTCACACATAAGCATTCAATTTCTAGTGATGATTCAATCACCTTTCACTGATATATCTAATTTTAATTTGTATATTATTTGCTTCTGAATTACTATTTTTTCCTTATATTTCTTCGGTGACTTTTTCTCTTCGGTGTTGTCTTCTTATTTTTATTTTTCTCCAAACAGTGTGCTTGTAATGTAATACGCACATTATACATATATATATATATATAATTATATATTTATTTTTATCTTTGGTGGTGGATTATTTCTACTAATACTTGTGAGCTGACAAATCAAAATAGTCACTTTGATAGTCAAAAAGTATCGGTCTCTTTCTCATTTCTCATGTGCCTCTACTTCGTGTTTTTTTCTTCACTTAAATCTCTAGTCTATTATTCAACGAAAACCAAAAAAACAATCTGAACACAGTCAATTGGTAACTTAATTCAAATAAAAGAAAAAACCAACCAAAAAATCGATTTCTCTTGTGTATATGTGTTGCATTCCTTCAGATGTGCTACAGAGTTACAAAAATTTATAAGAAAAATTAAAGAGACACATATACAATATACTAATTAGTGGGTTGATATTTTTTTTTTCTTTTTTTTTTTCTCATGTGTGGAATGCGGTTGTTCATATTTATACGATCAATATTTTATGTATATGTTAACGAACTTCTTTTTTTTTGTCATTTCCGCTTCTCTTACACCTATCTTTTCAATAAAAATTTTTATGAGTAGCAAATAATGAATAAATCATCTAAAGCAAAATACTAGAATATCCTAATAAATTTTTGTAGATGGATGCAAAATTTTCACGTTTACAAAATTTTGTTAATGAATCTAATAGTAATAATAATGATAATATACAATCATGGTCTCGGGCAATCTTTTCACAAGATTTATTTCAAACAAATATAGATCGTGTGCAAAGTTTTTTTAATAGACGTTTAGACGGTTCACTATCATCATCATCATCATCAAGTACAGATGATTTACAAATATTATTACAAAAAGGTGACAATGATCCTATCTTACCAGCATTGGTAAGATTATATTTTTGTTCTGAAGACTCTTTTAATATTAAATACTGAAGTTTATATTTGTAAATAAGAGACAGATACTACTAGGCTCATGTCTTATTTCAAGTATGTCAAAAGTTTCTAAAGGTGTGTCGAGAGGTGAATCCATTCCTACAAAAGATAAAATCTCCTGTAGAAATGTGTGGGATCAAAGTTTTTTTAACTCCAGCAATTTGTTTTGTACCTAGCCCGATCATAGTCTCAGTAAATTTGATTCAGTATTGGTCTAGACTCAGTACCTTCTTTCTAATAGTCCTGGTTATGGCGTCGCTAAATCTAATCTGATTTGGGTCCCAATGTAGAGAAAACTACTCCAGCATGTATTCATATTATGTCTAAAAAAATCCTTCAACACTAGTTTTTTTTTTTCATTCGACGACTAGCAGTTTTTTGGATTAGTTCTCTTAAATTATGTTCTGATTGATATAATTTATGAAATAAGTCTCTTGAAACCGTACAATATTTAACTATAATCTTTTTCTTTGGTTAGGAAGAAGAATTATCAAATTGATTTTGATGCTAGAAATCATTAGAAACTAATGAATATCACTTGAAACTGTAGAAAATCTCCAGCAATAAAATAAAAAAATTTAGCCCTGATTTTTATTGATTTTCAATAATCGTCAGTGTCTTTAGTAGTTGCTACTGATTTCTTGTGGTTTGCCTTTATTTCTAAGTATTGTCGATGATTCTTATTGACTCAGGATGGACAGATAAGAATTGATTTTCCAGTAATAGAAATCATTGAAGATTAGAAAAATCATTAGAAATCAAAAAATCAGTTTAATCCCCCTTGGTTAGGAAACTCTACTCGAGTTTCGATCATCATGAGGAACTTCAGATCTTTCAGTAGTGTTTTGCAACCATTTTTCCATATAGTTCAAAAAGATGGAATAGTTATTGCATGTCTTCAAAGCAAACTGTTCATGAGTCTTCGAAAACTATTCTGACTGTTTCATAAGTTATCATACTATTAAAACTCGTTCACTTGCTTTGTTTTTTCAAGAATCTATCAGAATGAGTGTTTATAAACTTACGAAGATAGATTTGAATGATCTGAAGCCGGTAATAATGATCAAAACTTGTGTAAATAGAAAAATAAATACTGTCTATTATTTTTGACGTAAAAAAAACTCAAATTTTTATACCGTAGCCGCTAGTACTACTTTTTCTCCAGTGTTGATGAACTTAGTTTATAAGAATAGAAACTTATTAGTCTTCCCTTTCAAATTAAAAGATGTTTTCGATTAAGCTGAATTAGTAGTGCAGATCGTACGCATTTATTAAGTGATCATAACTTTTGCAACACCTTGTCGACTGTTTATATCTTATTATTATTATCATTAATTATTTAGAGTCGTAAACAACGTATTTTGGGTTTTATGGTGTGTCTTGTTATGGGTATATTTTGTATGTTGTTAGCGACATTGTATATTCCAGTAATTGTAATCAAAGCACGAAAATTTGCTTTACTATTTTCATTTGGTAGTCTTTTTTTTCTTTCAAGGTATGAATATATTCTCTAATGTAAAGGTTATATAAATTGCTTTTTTTTAGTTTTTCAATGTTATGGGGACCAACAAATCATTTAAAACATTTAACTAATGTTGATCGTCTCCCATTTTCTATATCATATTTAGTTACTCTTATTTGTACAATATATTATTCAGTATTGGTAAATATTTTCGATCGTTTGTTTTTCTTTAACAAGATGTCACCAGTCAACGTTCCGTTTAGCTAATGAGTATTCACCGCATTTTTTCTATGTATTCATTTCACTATAAAACGAAAGTTATGTTATATAAAAATTTGTGTCGTAGAAAAGGAGAGACGGTTAGCACTCCCCTTGACAAGGACGGAAGGTCGTCGGACCTATACGAACACACCAGGCAAGGCATGACGGCTAGCACCCGTCACCTGGCTCGTTTTTTTTTTGTTTTAGGTCAAAAGTTATTTCTTTACAATTATTTTTGCTCTTTTACAAATTGGTGCTCTCATCTGGTAAATATTTATATTAATTTAATATTATAGTATAATATTTTTGTTTAGGTATGTTGTTTCATATATTCCTGGTGGCGCACGTGGTCTGAAATTTTTTTCAAAACTTTTTTATACATTCGTTTCAAAAACTGTTACAACAACATTGTCAGTTTAAAATAAAAAGAGCATTTTTATTTGTATTATTGCAAAAAAAAAGAGAAAATAAGCTTTGTTGTTTTTTTTGTTATTATTATATTATTATTGATATCATAAATTCTCAATATGTCAAAGAAAACAAAAAGAAGAGTTGTGAAAAATAATATGTTGTTTATTTGTGTATTTTAAAGATATGTTGATTAGATCTATTCTTTCAAAAACAAATTCGAATAGTCAATTAACTATTTCGATTCGAACATTTAAACGTTTTGGTGAATATGTTAAAGGTTATGGTCATGAACCAAAATATTATCAAGGAGGTAGATCAACTTGTTCTTTTATGTCTTCTGGTAAAATTATCAGCTACTGTTTTTTTTCCTAGGTTATCTTCCACGAGCAGCACATCTAAAAGACCCACCGAATTATTTACCACCATTTATTGATCCACAAGAATGGACTTTAGAAGCAGCTACTTTCGGACAGAATGATTATATTGGTAAGTGAAGTTGTTCTAGTAATCATGTTCATTTCAAAATGTCTGGCATACAAGAATATATGATTTTTCAATATATTGACTAGATTTAAATAAAATATTTATAGGAACAATGGTATGAAATTTAATATAAGTTCATTAGAATTCCTAGACATCTATCCAAAGACAGATAGCCATCATGACTGAGTAGCTACGCTATTCGACAAATGTACAATAAGATTTGCGTTTCAACAATGATGCTATCAACTATAATTTAACCCTGAACAAATCACTAATGACTGTTCGTCTCGGATCACTCGTTCGATAGTAGGATAAGTGGTGACATACACCTCGCCTTGTGACTAATATATGATTAGTCATTGTACACAGGAAGATTAAATGATTGGGTACAAGGACTGTGCATCAGACCAGTCTTTTATCTAGAGCTACAGCTAGTATTAGTTGTAGAGAAGATATTGCGCTAATAAATATGCTGTTGAGCAGCAACGCATACTATAAGGAAGTTGAAAAGCAAGGATATTCTTTCTTTCAAAGACATATTTCAATCTGATATTCTCTTTGAAAATGCTAATTCCATGAAAACGAAAATATCCTACTAATTCAATGCTGCAGTATTCAGAATTTATTGGTGCCAGGTTTAATTAAAAAAACGTAATATTCATTTTAATTTCAAATAGAACAAATGAGAGGATTTCTTTTTCATAAGTATGACTTTGTTTTGATTGAGATTAAAATGTGTTGTACATGGTGGATCTTAAATAGCACTAAGATAAAAGAAAACATTTCCGCATCGGTTCAACATAATAGATTGACTTTTGAATTTTTGGTAGAAGTTTATTAAAAATTCTTTTTTTTTCTATAAGGATAAACTAAACAAATATTACTATAAATGTACCGCTTCATAGATAATTTTCAGTTATCATCTAAGAAAATAATAAGAAAACTTTTCAAACACGAAACATTGCTTTTTGCAAGGAAGTTGGTATCTAAAGGGCTGTAATAATGTGTTATATTTGTAGAATGTGAATATCAGCATTTAAACTAATTCTTACCTATGAAATAATTGCTCTATGTGCAACAATATAGTTAGTTTTGAATTCTTGTTATTATTCTGTTCGATGACGACTGAAGATTATCTATGAAATGATTCATATGTATTACTCTTACTTGATAATAGGTGAAATTTGTTTAGTGTGACCAAAAATAGAACTTGACAGTAGTATCTATTAACGTCATCCGTATGAAAAGGATCTTCAAATAAGCTTCTACCATTAACCAAAAAACGTCAACCCGTTCGAGCGAACCGAAGTGAAAATATTTCAATTTTTTTTATCGTAGTTCGATTTTTGACCCATCTTGTATATTATCAACATATGAATAAATCTCAATAGATCTTGAATAGGTGGTATATACATTTAATAGAAATGCCAAAGAATCATTCAAGAGAACGTCCAGTTAGCGATAGAATCGATTTGTATCGGTCTTACATCTGCTTCCAGTTATTCTAGATAAATGTAAGAATAATTCGTTATTATTAACTTAACTATAGATATTCTCGGCGATGAAAATGTTGAACATTGGCAATTAGTTCGTAATGCTCCATTTTGGTTACGTGGTTTTCAAGGTAATGAATTACAACATTTATTACGTCGATTAAAATTTCAAGGTAAATATTTGGAAGAAAATCAACCACAACGTTATTCAGATTTAATAACACGTATACGTTATCTTATGTTTAAAATTAATTTTAAACATTATAAACGCCCATGGCTTATGCGTCCAACTGTTGGTCCAAATGAACCCCTACCAGAATATTATGATCCACGTTCTAGTTAAAAAAAATAACAATAACTAATTATAATTTGTTTTTTGTTTATTATGATTAGAATAAAAACTAAAAAAAAAGTAATGAGATTTCTCTTAAAATTTCTTTAATTTTGCTCTTGATCTTGTTGTACGTGGTGGATCAATAACAGTAGGTCGTTGAATATAATGACAATATATATCACCTTCAGGTACTTTTTTCCAATCATAATATCTTTTTATATCACCTTCTGTTCCATTCATTTTAAATACTTTTCGTATATCATGTAAATTCGTAGAATATTCCAAACTATAACCTAATGAATCAAGCATTAATTGAACATAGATACGTCCTGGACGTGTACGAGAATCTGATCTATCAGCCCATTCAATAATCCATTTTTCAGCTAATATTAACGTCTCGTCAATAAGCATTTTTTGAAGAACCTTTACTTCAGCTCCTGGTATACTTATTTTAATATCTAGTTTAGTATTATTTGATTGAATTAAACGAGAAAGCCATAATGAAAAATCAATTGCATCTAACATTGGTAAACGAGTTTGATCTAAAGAAAAAGAAGAAGAAGAAAAACGAGAAAAAAAAATGCTTATTTTGTTTTTCTATTTAATAAATACTAACTAGTGTTACTTAGATCTATTCGACTTTTTCCGCCGCGATCAATTTGAAAAGGAACTTTTTCATCACGTATCCAAGCAGCTTTAGGTATTATAATTATGTTATGATTTTGATATTTCTGTTGTCTTAATTGTTTTTTACAAATTTCATAATTAAAGGGATCAGGTTCAAAAGTAATTATATCATATAATACACTATTTGGAGTAAAATGAATAAAATGTTCAATAGTTTCACCATTGAAACAACCAATGTCAACATAAATATGATGTATTGATTGATTATTATAATTTTTAAGAATTACAGTTGCATTACTATCATGATTTAGTAATATATTTGAATAGTCTGATTTAGACAAAGATTGATTTAAACTTATTGTAGAAAATATCGTAAAAATAAGTATGAAAATGAGTATAAGACTAATTCGATAAAAATAATAACGTTGTTGAAGTTTCCTAGTTTTTTTTGTACATAAACCCAAAATAAAATAGATTCTTCTTGTTGTTTGATACATTAATTTGAAACTCATTATCCCGATTAAATATATTATCTAATAAAGAATAATATGGAACGGGTAACTATACTTATTAAATAAGAGAACATTAAATAATTGTTTTAATATACACATAATTTTGTGAAAGTCATAGGTAATAACATGTGTCCTTGTTTGCTTTTCTCTCCCTCTCCTCTCAATACTGATGCCTTTGCAATTTTTTCAGCTACGCATCATTGAAAGATACGCATACGTGTATGCACATGGCAAAGCGAGTCACAAAAAAAAATGATGTATTTGTGGAAGAAAACTGTGGTGTCGCCATTATATTTTTTTTTTATGCATACTAAATGAAAAATGTAATGCTATTCACCATATCATTTTTTTTTTCTTATCAAAGAGTGTACGATCCTCGGTTTGTCTCTTTAAAGAAAATAGAAGTTGTATCAATCCGTATGTAAGCATATTTTTCTTTTCATTCGTTTATTCAAACAAAAAAAGAAAACAACGTTGTTTTTTAACAATTTTTTCTATTGATGATTTTTTTTCATTCATACTTAAATACCTCTTGATTATATTGTTTTCGATCGTTTTATTCAGTTTACTGTATTTATACAAAAATTTTCAAAAGTTTTTTGTTTTTTGATATCATTGAATATTGTATCAATTATTTTATCAAACTAAATAAATTTCATGTTGTTTACTTTGAAATTTTTCCCAAAAAACGAATAGATAAATTTTGAAAAGCGATGAAAACATATGATTGCTTCATTCAGTCACTTTTCGACTATTTCTGCAGTAGGTTTTTTTTCTCCTTTGTTCATATAAAATACAGCAAACTGAATAAAACTATCACAAATAATCTAATCAAGTTGCTTTTGATAATGATGTATTATGTCTAGTTAAAATAATATTCCAAATATCATAGAATTCTAATGGATCATCACGTATTCCAATATGTAAGTTGGACATACATATTAATAAACGAGGATTATCTTCAAAAAATAAATCACATGAAATTTGATTGAAAAATGTATAAGCATATTCAAATTGTGGAAACTCATAAAATGGTACTCCTGCTAAATCACGTAAAATACCAGTTATATAAGCATCACCTATACGTATTACTTGATGATTAGGATGATTAGCTACATTTATTAAACGTTGACATGAAGTATTCGATAATAGATAACCTATACCAAATGTATATGGAGGATATATTGTTGGTTTATATTCAGTTTTTGTTACAGCCCATTTATCTGCACGATGAACTGTATTATTAAAACGAAACCATCCATACAAACCATCTTGAGTATTCATATTTAAATCATTTTTTATATAACCGAATAATAAAAAGGTATCCAATAATATGTCATCATCAGCACGAAATATAAGACGAACTAATGGACAATAAAGACGAGTCCAGAATAAAGATGCTAATTCTTTATGAGCGACGAATGGATAATTTTCTGGTATAACTAGTCAATAGAAAACAAAAACTTAAATAGTTTTCTTTAAGAATAAATCATATAGAAAAAAAATTAATAATATCACATACATACCGAGATAATCAAAGATGAGATTAGATAGAAACTTTTCGTTGAAGGATTTTACACTTTATCAACAATATATTTTTCTTTCGTTTAAAATCAACTAGAGAGATATATATCCAATAGAAGATATATCTTCAAACTGATTTTCATATAAAATTCAGATCATCTATGATATTCTCATCTTTTTCTAAATGTATATTATTATTCGAATAAACATTGCAAATATTCTATCAATAAGTTGCTAGTCAACTATTGGAATTTCAAATAAAGTTCTGCATCTTATTTAATCTAAACATGCTCATATGTATCTCGATTCTGAGAAAGTATCGAAATAAGCTGAAAACAAAAAATAATTGCCAAACATTACCAACGAAACTTATCAGTGATTAAGTTTTTATTAGACTCACCAGTTTCAACAACATCATTAAATAATGCTTGTTCAAGTCGTATAGCCGATTGAACACTATCATCAGTTCCAACAAAAAATATAGTTCGCAAATGAATATTATATTTTGTATACTTTCCATTACGACCCCATGTAGCACGAATTGCTTGACGAAAATCAAAATTAAGTGCACGTGAAAGAACAATAAAAATCACGAACTCATGTCCATCTTTTGGATAAATACAAATTGTTTTTGGTGGATTAACAAATGTTAAACGATCCAATATTGAAGTATTTCCTTTATTCGATGCAAGAACTTTTTCACGAAGTAATCTTTCATTTATTTGTTCATGTGATGTATCTAAATGCTTTGTATTATTAATTGTAATAGACGAAGTAAGTTGATTTTGAGAATCATAATTATTGTAAACTAATATAGTTGTAGTTGATTGAATTAAATTAGGATGAATTTGAATACGTTTGATAAAAGAAAAAGCCGAAAATAAAAATATTACACACGAAATTATTAAAAGAACATGAGTATAGAACGGTGACAACATGCTCTACGTAAGTATTGTTGGTCCGATTTTTTCGTCAGTATTTCTTTTCATTTCTTCTTTTTTTTCTGATCGTTCTTTTTTTTTTTTGTCTCACATGCTACACACTCAAGCGTGAACAGTTGTTTGCCCGACTACTAAGTATCACTTGACACATACATATATGAGTGCAAGATTGGAAATAAATGGTGGTTAATTTACCATAACGAAGATTATAGATATATGTATTTGTTTTAAATGCAAAGTACACAATTCAAGGACACCTTTTATGTCATTATTGACAATGGCATGTCGTAGACAAAAAAGAGAAAGTGATCACCTACTTTTTTGTTTGGATATTTTTTCAACGTTTCTTTCATATATATATATCTATATATATCATAAAAAATGTGGTTTGCGAATTATTGCAGATTTCTTTTCTTTCGTATTCAACATACTTGACTGAAATACGCATATGAATATGCCCAACAATATATAATGTTTTTCAAAAAAACCAGAACCTTTCTTGTGCAATATTATATTTGCTCTTCGCGAATTCATTTGTTTTTGGTTGAAGTAGTTTTGCAATACTGTATTATTCACTTATATTTACTAGTTTGCCTTTTACTATTATCAAAGAAAGAAAAATGTTATCATTTTTCAAAAGATGTTCTATATGAAAGCTACGAGCTATAAGTGTAAAAAATAGTCATTTCGATCAATACACTAAAACTTTATCAATAAAGGCTTGATTGATATCTTTTCACTAGTATAAAAGTTTGTTTTTTTAGTTCATCAAAAGTTTCAATTTTCTGTTTTAGAGATGCGCAAGTCAGAAGTTTTTAAAGTTCAAGTGAAATCGAGAGCTTAAAAAAAATTTCTTAAGTCGAGTCAAAAAATGACTATATTGCCACCCAGCGGCTACATATTTGAATTGTGTGAATCAATTTCTTTTTCTTTGCTTGTGCTTTCGTAGGTAATTTTAGTGTAGGCAAGAATTAGATACAAAAAGTAAAAATATATATCTCTTTTTTTTTTTTGTATTTGATTTGTTGCTCTTCTTTAAAGGTCAAGTCCAAAAATGTTTTGATTTGCTCAGCTCTATTCTGTTTATTTAACCATTGATTAAAATATGTTCAGACAGAATGGTCCATGGAAGCTGCATCTGATGGTTTGAGCATCCATTTCTTTGATTTAACATACTTAATTTTTGTTGTTCGTTGGTTGAAAACAAATGAAAAACATCATATGATATGAATGTTTTCAAAATGTTGTCAATCTAATACTTTGAATTAATTTTCCTAATCAATGTTGAAATTTTCTATATAGTACAAGATTTAACAAGGTAAATTATGTTCTTCATAAACAGTACATTTTATCGTAGTTATTTTTTGCGTAAGGGTTAAAAATGAATGTCTGTTTGACCTGTATAGGAAATTTTCAACAAAAGCGACACAAAACATTTTCCTCCTATGATGTTAGGGTAGTTTTATTGTTCAGAATATCTATAGAAAGATATCTACAAATTGCATGAGACATTGTATTTCAATAGATCTATCATGTTAGAAATTTATGTGGGCTCTAGTGCCTTACAGAAACGACTCTTTTCGATGCTTGTTGTGCACTCCCTTAATGCTTTCAGAATTTCAATTACGATTTCATTGTTCACGTTTTAGAGAAACTGTCATTACAAGACACTAGCTTCTCTCAGTATCACACTATTTACCACATATGATAGCCTTAAATTAAAGTTAAACTTATCATTTGAGGTACACTTTCGCAAAATAAATCAATTATTATTTATAGGTAGAAACTCAGCAATGTTAAATTAAGAGAAACATTCCCTTTATCTATTAAGCATTAGAAAAGAGTAAAAAAATACTAGAGCATCAACAGCACCGCTAGAAAGATGAGAATATTCAAGAGAGGAGCCTAATAATAATGCTATATGAGAAGATTATTTGAATAATAGTCATTTTGAAGATAATAATGGCAAAAAAAAATTATAGTTATGATAATCGAATAGCAATTTAGTGCGTAAGCAATGACCTCATCTAATTTTTGTTGATAGATATTTGTTTTTTTCCTGTTAATCAATAAGCAATGCAAAAGTCTGTCGAAGAATGTCGAAATCTATTTCTCTGCAATGTAATACTGGATTAACTTTGACATTTTTTTTTGAAAAAGCAAAGTTTCGAGACTATATATATAAAACAAGCAAAATGACTTTCGGAGATGCTTATTTTTAAATATTGTTCCTACGGGACATTAGTGAGTCGTCTTCTATGCAGACATCAATTACAAATAGATCTTCTTGTACAATCTCATTCACGCTTTAAACAACATATAAAAAATTGTCTGAACAGCATAGATTTATGAGAAACTTTTTTCTGCACTAATCTCTTATGTTTCAAACCAAAACCGATATATATCATTTGGATTATATACCTTTTATTTCGTTAAAAATAACACGAATAAAAAGCTTATTGAAGTTTCGGTTACGGACTGAATATGTATATCAGTAAACAAAGATGTATCGAATGAAGATTAACACAGCCATTTATTTCAAGTTTCATGGCATAAGTAAATAGATGTGATGACTAATAATTAGTTATGTATTTAATGAGATCTGTATTTAGGTTGTTGCTGGATGTCTAGTAAGTTTTTTTTACTTCTGCTATTTATGATGTAATAAACGTTTATAACTTAAGTAATATTATCCGTTTTGATCTTAGATATGAGAGTTTTGTATGGAAAAGAGTTCCTCATAAATTCAAATTGTCAACACAAATTTTTATCTTTCCTTCAAACCATAAATGAAATCGTACAAAAGTCTATTTGTAATTTGTGAGTACGTAAGAGTCGACCTACAGAGTTTTCAAACATGATATATTTCTTTCCATAGAATATTTCATTCAATTTGTAGCACTCTTTCTATTGATATACTAAACAATAAAACTATCCTAATATCATATGAAAAAAATGTTTTTTGTCATCTTTTTGTTGAAAATTTTTAGTATAGGTGAAACAAACATTTACTTTTAACTCTTACTCAAAGGATAACTACACTAAAATGTATTTCTCACGAACAACACAATTTGCACTATTGGATCATGAATCACAAAGATATTTTCAATTTAGCATAGGCACGCAATAATTTGCAAACATAAATGGCTGAATAATTTTGAAAGAATGAAAAACAATGTTGCGATGATTGTATTGTCCATGAAATTTAGACAAATCACCGGATTAACTCGAAGTGTTTTACTAGTAAACAAGAGACGTTGGACTTTAATCGGACAAAAATAAAACCATTCAAGCTAATCTGGTTTTAGAGTTATACACAAAATCAAATGGTATTCTCTACTGATTTGTTAATGTTGATAGTTACTGTATATATTGTTATGCCTCTGTTTCTTTTTATATCTTGATAGTAGACTTCTGCGTGACCACGATTTTTCAGTCACGTCACGTCACGGTCACGAGCTACCTGGTCACGGTCACGTTCATAGTCACGGAGTTTTTTCGAAACTAGTCACGATCACGTCACGGTCACGAGCTGCCTGGTCACGATCATGGTCATAGTCACGAAAATTTTTCGAAACTAGTCACGGTCACGTCACGATCACGAAAATTTTGGGTTACTAACTGGATTTTTGTGCTACAAAATCAAGATTTATATTGATTTCGCAGATTTCCTCTGTAATAAAACGCAGAAAACACGTAAATCAATTAAAATCTTGATTTTTTTTCACAAAAATTAGATTTCTAATCTCAAAATTTTTCATCATTAAGTCACGATTACGAGCTATTTGGTCACGATCATGAGCTATTTGGTCACGGTCACGATCCCAGTCACGACAATTTTTCGAAAAGTAGTCACGGTCACGAGAGGCCGTGACCGTGACCGTGACCATTTTGCAGAAGTCTACTTGATAGGATCTCAAGAAAAGTCAAAATGTGTACATCATACTTTGAAACAGTAAATTTATTAAGTTTATTAGCTTAGTCTATTTGTTCGTATTTAATCATAATTCTCTATACAGATAGAATAAACTCATAAATTTTATCAAAACTACCGTTTATTTAATTAAAACAAATACTTTTCACATAATATCAACAGGTCTACAGGCATTCTAAATCATTAAAAACATAAGACATTATGAAAAACTATGAACAATATTTGTAGAATTAGTTTGTTATTAAGTATGAATTTTTTCTTCTAATTTCATTAATCGCGAACATATAATCGAAGTACTTTCGCTTGTTTTCATCATACTATGAGACGTTCTTGATTGATTATATTTACAAATATAAATTTTCATTCTCTATGACAAACAAAATATAAATCTTATATTTTTGATTATTCATTTTAAATTTTAAATTTCTCTTCCTTATTATATGTATTGTTTATTAATATTTATTCAAGTAAAGTAAATTAAAAATATAATTAAT